TTCCTGTCCAGGCTGCAAATTGCCCTTTGGGATGGCAGCCATGTCCCCTCAGGCACATCCCAATCCCTCCTGCTGCCTGGGACCGGGGATGCCTTCCTCCAAGGCGGCCAAGAGCACCATTTTGGGGGTGTCTCCCTTCCTGAGCCACCCCACTCCCCATTCTGGACCTGCGCGTTGCCTGTTTTCTCTTCTATGTTCACCTTGTCCTTGAAAAGAGAGTCCCCACCCTGTCTCAAAGTCAGCCAGCGCCAGAGTCTGATGGCCTCTGTCCCAGGGAGTGATCCGGCTGCGCAGGCACAGGGACAGAGGCACAGACTGGCCTGGCGGGGGCTGGGCTCTTGGTGTTGGCGGATGGCACTGTGAGGGGCGGGAGCCAACCTCTCTGACTGAGCTGGCTTCCCGGCCAAGGACAGGCTCCTCCTGGGTTTGGCAGGATCAGCTCTCTGCCTGAGAATGCTCTTGCTACATGCACAAAAGCTCGTCAGAAAACTGAAATCGCTCAAGCCCAGGAGACAGGGGGCCCAGGCCTCTCTCTGTGCCTTGAGCTGCAGGATGGCTGGGACATCGAGTTGCTTCAGCATCCCATCACCACGCATTTCTACGACCAGTCCTTCTTCACCCTTTGTGCAGAATGGCTTCTTTTAGTCACTTTTTTTTTTCAGGTACCAAAGCAAAATGTGTCTATTGTAGAACTTTTGTAATAATAGCTAGTGGCATGTTTGAAGCCAGTTTCCTAATCTGAACCTGGTAGAATTGCAGATGACTGCAGACTCACCCTGTTGTACTTCTGAGACCCTGATTGAGAGCCATTTGTTACGCAGCATTATCCCAGGACTAGCTGACTGATGCCAATGTCAACATCACTACTTCAGCTCTAATGCAGGGAGGTCCTTGTTGGCCCACCTTCTCCTTGACCCTCCACATTCTACCCATCAGTCCCTGCTGGGGTATGGATATGGTTTGTCCCCCAAGGCTCATGTGCTAGAAGTTTGGTCCCTGGTGTTGAGAGGCAGGGGGAACCTTTAAGAAGTGGAGTTTAGCTGGGTGCAGTGGCGCACACCTGTCATCCCAGCGGCTCAGGAGGCTGAGGCAAGGAGGATCACAAGTTCAAGGCCAGCCTCAGCCACAGAGAGGCCCTAAGCAACTCAGTGGGACCCTGTCTCTAAATAAAATACAAAATAGGGCTGGGGGTGGTGCTCAGTGGTCAAGTGCCCCTGAGTTCAATCCCTGGTACCAAAAAAAAAGAGGTGGCGTCTGGGGAAAGGTGTTGGGGTCCTTAGGGTCCCGAGCCTGGGATTACATAGGTCTCGGGGACCCTGGTTAGTTCTGCGACAGTCAGTTGTGAATGAGGAGCTGGGTCTCTGCCCTGCTCTGACCTCTCCTGCTGGGGGAGTGTTGAACCGATTTCCTGATTTCCTAGTTAATCCATAGGGGCGCATCCGTAGCCGGCACATCCTGTTTCTCTGGAGAACCCAAATACGGTGCTTCTCGCCAACTTGACTCCTAAAACAGACCTTGGGCTCTGGTTGGAATGTGCCCCCCAATCTCATGTGTTGGAAACGTGACCCCCAGATCCATATGTCCAGGTACTGGACAGCCGGGACCCCTGGGAGGAGGGCTCCGCCTTCACCAATGACGTCCTGGGGTCCTGGATTCGCGGGCACAGCCTGCCCTGCCTGGCTGGGTGACGCCGTGTGCTGTCCTGGCACAGCAAGGAGACCCTTCTCAGAAGCCCCGCAGCCTGCCACCGTCTCTTGGGCTCCCAACCTGCAGCTGTGGGCTGCCTGAGCCTCTGGGGTAATGCCCCTCAGTCCGTGATGTTCAGCGAGAGCAGCGGGACTGCCGGGAGACCCCACGTCTCTGCGTCTCTCCTCCACCACCTCCACCACCTCAGCCCATGTCAGTCCCCTGTGGACGTCCACCCAGATGATGACACCAGCTTGCCACTGCTCTCCCATCTGGCTGTCCCCACCCCATTCTCCAGCCTGTTGCTGGAGCGGGTTTTAAACAATCGTGTTAGCCGGGCACGGTGATGCACACCTGTCATCCCAGAGACTTGGGAGGCTGAGGCAGGAGGATTGCAAGTTGGAGGCCAGCCTCAGCAACTTAGTGAGGCCCTCAGCAACTTAGCAAGACCCTGTCTCTAAATATCATATAAAAAGGGCTGGGGCTGGGGCTCAGTGGTTAAGCACCCCTTGGTTCAGTCCCCAGGACCAAAAAAAAAAAAAAAGATAAAAATAAACAATCCTGCCAAGCCACTCTCTGCCCCAGTCCCAACGGAGACTTGCCAGGGTGAGGAGATCAGCCCAAGGTCTTGGCCACGCCTCAGAGACACTGGTGCTCTGCCTCTAGCTCTTTCTCTTGTACCTCCAGCTCTGTCCCCTCCGCCAGTACCCCTGGTCGCAGCAGGAGCTGGGCCAGGGCCTGCCAGTCGGACTTGCAGTCTGGCTCTCTTCTGTTCCGAAGCGTGATCCCTCCTTGGGGTCCCAGGCATCCTCGAATCTCCCTGTCTCCACCTTGGTTACAGAACTGCCACCCTCGTAGATGCTTCTGGGGGACCAGGCACAGTGTGACTTCCTGGGTTGCCCTCCTACCTGCCTCTGTCTGTGAAGCCCTCTCTGATCTCTGGGCCCCTTGGATTGAGTGTCAACAGCGGCCACTGTCATCAGGGACTCTTCCATTGCACCCAGGATGGGGCATTAACTCAGCTTTATAAATTTTACCTTGAGACGTTTTACTCTGTGATGGTCACCCACGGAATCTGCCATCGATCCCTCGGCCACTTTAATCGTAATTAACTTCATGACTGAATATATTTTCATGGACGCGGAAGTGACAGGTCAGATTTACCGAGTCACAGATTCACAGTCACCGATCGGGTCCACACTGCTCCAGCTCACGATTTTCAAAGGCTCAGCCGTCTCCAGACTCTCCGTTGCCCACCTTCTCCCTGTCCTGGGACCTTGATCATAACGATGACGAGGTGCTCATGATGACAACTGTCAGCCATCCAGGAGGGTGATGCACGTCACAAACGCTATACGAAGGGTTTCCAAGCCTTATCAGAGCTCAAACGCGTGGCAATCTTCCCAAGTGGATTTGTCCTCACCCCCAGGTCTTAGATGAGAAAACGGAGCCTCAGGGAGATGAACAGACTTTGCGAGCTCCTTTGGCTCATAAGCAGCAGGGCCAGGGTTCAAACTGAGGCTGATGGTGAGATCTGCATCCTCGACCCTCAAGCAGAACTTCTTGCCCTCAAGGGGAAACCGAAGGACTACGGGCCGCGCTTCCCAGTAAGCAGGGGAAATGGAATACACTCTAATTAAATCTCGTGTTTGATGCAAAGGAATTCAGAGGCTTATATTGCAGAATCTCAGCCCTCGGGGGTTCATCCACCAGGCCGGCAAGAGAGAGCGCTTGAGCTGGGTGGACTTTGGATCAGACTTGGAGTCCAACACGGCTCTTACCTCTTGCACCATCTGTCAGGGGACTTTGTTCCTGTATGACCTGTTCTCTCTCTTCTCCACCCACTCCCGCTAATGCCACCGTAATGCACCCATTTTGTGGATGAAGATGGAACGCCAAGGAGAATCCCGGGACTCCCAGGGAACCGACCTGTGAACTGCCCCCTAGTGGTGGAGGTGGGTGTAAAGATGGTGGAAAGTCAGGCTCCCCGTGTACTGACGGGGCCAAGGTGGCACTTAGGGGGCCAGAGGACTTCTGTCATGAGGCTGTCCTGGCAATGCAGTGTCCTCTCCTCATATGTGCCCTTTGTGACAATCAAAAGGCCTCCAGACATGGCCAGAGTTCTCCTGGGGAGCACCCCACCCCCAGCTGGGAACCATTTCCGTGGATAAAATCCCAACAGTGGCATCGCGTGGCGGCTCTTGGACGGGTTCCCTCGGGCTCAGCGCTCCGTGCACTCCGCGCACGTGAACTAAAGGTGGTTTTCATGTTAGACCATTTGAAAGTCATTCTCGCCACCAGCGGGAGGAAGCTTCCCTCCAGCGTCTCCCTGCGACCTTGGGATCTGTCTCCTACGCGGCGGGTTGTGCTTCTCATCAGGAAGGTGTTTGCCCTGTCAGGTCTCAGATTCTGTCTCTGGAACGGTGGGCATAATAGTGCCTGGTCCTCAGGATTGCTCAGTAATGCGAGTCATTTTCTTCTCGTGCAGATAGCAAGGTCTCCTTCCAGAGGAAGATCCAGCCGGGCAGCGAGGCCTCTGGCTTGTGTTCCAGCCTGCAGCTTCCTGGCTGTGTGACTTGGCACTGGTTGCTCACCCTCTCTGAGCCTCACTTGCTCCTGACTGGAAAGGGAGGAAGCTGGACAGAATCCCTGAGGCCCCGGGTGCCTTGCTATGGGTCTTGTGGAGCCGATCATGGCTGTGAGTCCTTAACGGAGCTTGCGGGGAAATCACCGACGGAGCTGGTGGTCATACAGATTTGTGGACCCTGATCTGGTCAGTCGGGCTGGACTGGGGACATCATTTCACTTGGCTTCTTCCCTCTGTCCTGGGAATTTCTGAGGCAGGACGGGCTCTGGCACACCCTGTCCTCCAGCAGGGAGCCCGCCAGCCTGCAGGGAGGGGGCCCCGATTGCCATGCCGCGGTCCTCTGGTGTCCTCTAGCTCCTCTGGAAGGTCGCCTGGGAGAAGCCACAGCAAGACGGAGCCTTGCCCAGCGCGGGTCTTCAGCAAGGGACTTCCTGGACGGGGGCGGGCGGGCGGAGGCCGGGTGTGTGCACAGCGTGCCCGGGCCGAGGACACTCAGGGACGCAGCGGCCTGGGCCAGCACCTGCGGGGGGCAGGGCGTCCTGAGCCCTCCTTCCTGGCGCCTCGGGCAGCACTGACCTGGACTCTACTGCTCACCTGGGCAACGGAGGCTCCAGGGGTGTGGAATGACTCTGGGTCACCTGGTTTGGAAGTGGCCGGACTCTGGCAGCCCGTCCTTGCTCCAGCCTGTGGTGGTGACCACGCCGCCCGGTGCTAACAGGTGTCTCACGGGGTCTCCATCAGGGCGCGGCCGGGGTGCTGACTGGCCATTAGACAGTGGGAAGGCCTCAGGCCGAGGGACAGCGGCCCCCGGGCTGGGCTAATTGGGCCTCGAAGGCCGCGGGAGAGGCCGGTGGCCGCGGGAGGGGAGGCTGAGCGTTTGGCTCCTCGTTCGTCCAGCGTCATCGGCACTTCCCAAGAGTGGCCTGGTGACCCTCGTTCCTGTCCCCGGTCCTTCCCCTTGACATCGTGAGGAATGGTGGGTTCAGGACCCTCCCAGCCCAGGTCCACAGATGCTCACGTCTCGTGTGACACAGCCCAGTGTCTTGCCCATCACCTGGGCAACCTGTCCACCTATTTGGAATCATCTCCGTGTTTCTTATCACACGTGACACAGTCTAAATGCTCTGTGAATACCAGTCCTACTGTGCGCCGTTTGGGGAATATGAAAACAGAAAGTCCCCACAGTCTTAGTGCAGATACGGATTTTCCCCTGGATATTTTCGGCCCGAGGTTGCTGAAGTCATGGACTGGAACCCGCAGACCAAGATGCCCGAGAACATCGTGGCACCCCTGAGGGCTTAGTTGGGTTTGGAAAGGGAGGCCCCGTGGTGTTCATAAGGTGCCCGGCGCTGGCCTGAGGCAGGGCACGGCCTCAGGGAGGGGACCCCCGGGGAAGGGCTGTTGACTCTCTGCTTCTGGCTGTGTCTGCGTCTCTTTCCAACTCGACTGCGTCACCCAGGAGGGAGGGAGGCCCCAGCTCTGTGCTCAGTCCCCCGGAGACTGGACGGACATGGAAGGTCCCTGGGGTGGTCTGTAGCAGGAGCCACGTGTGGACTCACTTCTCCTGACACTTGCTGGCCGCGTCGTCTGGGCTCAGAACTCAGCTCTGCTCCTAGGGGAGGAGGCCGGGCACCTCACCCGGCCACGGCCGGAGGGAAAGGACCTCAGAGGCTGCCACCTGTCAGCCCTGGGTGGAAGGCCCTCAGGGGTGGGGGGACTCCCACTGAAGACCACGTGGTATGGGCCAGGCCCAGGTGGGGTCCTGGGTCCCTCTTGGACGAGGCCTTGGGTCTTGTCATCCTTGTTGCGATGACCAGAGGAGCGCTGGGAGGGTGGGGAGGACTTGCTCACAGTCCCACGGATAGGGTAAGGACGAGTTGGGACTTAACCCCAAGGCTAATGTGGGATCCCCAGTGGGTGGATAACAGAGAAAGGGGAAGAGCTGTCTGCAGAGGCAGCCTTAAGGTGAGATTAGAAGAAGTGGAAGTCGATGTGGCTGAAGGGCAGAAAGAGGGATGCCCAGGAGATGTTCACAAAGAGGCAACAGCAGGTGCCAAGGCCCTGTGGTAGGAAAAACCTCAAGAAGGTCGATGTGACCAAAACAAAGAGAGTAAGGGGAGCACGTTAGTGGGGGAGACGCAGGGAGGGCTGGAGGGGGCATGTCTTGTAAGTCCCAAAGAGGAGCCTGTGTTTCGTTTGAAAACGGAGCACACTAGAGGCAGCGGGCTCGGAACTACCACAGTGGTGTCGGGAAGGGAAGGATGAGATTCCGGCTCTGCTCGCACCAGCAGGGAGCCCGGGGTGGGCGTGTTCCTAAAACTGGTGAGCTGCCGTGAGTGCGGTGAGTGCTGCTCTCATCCTGTCCATAGGATAGAGGCCCGGGTCCAAATCCTAATTCTGTCCATTTGCCCTGCAGCGGGGCAGGAGAGCCCAGTGGCTAAGCCATGCCACCCACCTCCTAGCCACGGGACTTGGAGCAAGGGACTTTGCCACCTGTGCCTCAGTTTCCCCACTTGCTACCTGGGGACCAGAATGGGAGCTCCCTGCTGGGGTGGCAAGTCCACAGCCGGGCGTCCGACACATGATGGCCATGATTGTTAGGACTGTGGCCAAGGTGGCTTTGTTCACATAAGGACATGGATGTCCACTTGGGGGCAGGACATCTGTACCTGCAGGGGCCGGGTGATCTCTTAGGTCAAGTTCAAAAACAGCTCAGAGGGACGCAGCGGGTGGGAAGACCTGGACTTGTCTCCGCCGGGGCCCTGAGGGCTCTGCAGGACCCAGCTCTCCTAGGCCTCTGTTTCTGACCCCCGGGGTTCCTGTCCCAAGAGGTGGTGTCCCTTTAAGCTCCGTGGACGGTCGGTGTGCTCTGGGTGGGGGGCCGGGAGCCAGGAGGACGGGACTCTCTCGGATCCAATTTCCATGCTCCTGTCACAGGACGAGGGGAAGTGAGGGCCTCAGCTCAGTGACAAGTGGGGACAGAGGTGGGGACAGCCGGGCGGGCTCCCCACTGCATGAGCCATGCACTCTGCCCCTGAGAGAAGGTCCAGCTGACCAGACAGATGCCCACCACTGCCGAATGCTCCTTCTGCCCAGAGGTGGATGCCTTGGAAATAATCCCTGAAAACGTCACCAGGATTAAAAACCTGATCAAATCCAGGTGCAATGGCCCACACCTGTCATCCCAGCGGCTGAGGAGGCTGAGGCAGGAGGATCCTGAGTTGAAGGCCAGCCTCAGCAACGGCGAGGCCCTAAGCAGCTCAGTGAGACCCTGTGTCTAAATAAAACACAGAATAGGGCTGGGGTGGGCTCAGTGGTCAGTGGCCCTGAGTTCAATCCCTGGTACTGCCCCTTGCAAAAAAACAACAAAGAAACCTGATTCAAAATCCTTACAGGCAGCCGGGGACGTCATTTTCAGACTATGCGAGGAAGACCAAGGAATTCTTTCTCTTCACCCCTTTACCGTGCAGGGGGCTCCCCCTCGACCTCTCCAGTGTCCTGTGGAGCCCACTCCTGCCTAGTCTCCACGATGGATGGAGCCATTTTCTTCTGTAAACGAGGACTGGCCACCGTCATCGGGTCCTCCATGCCACGGTGGGGGGACTGGTCTGTCAAGGGAAGTTCTCGGAGCCAAGATAAGAAGACGGGGGAGGGGTCACCTTAGGGCTTCAGTGGCCTCGTTGACCTTCAGGCTCCCGAGACCTCTGAGCTGCCAAGGGCGTGCACACATCTGCACTGGGTCCTCTCTCCTGCCAGATGCCACCCACGCAAAAGCAGGTGGCAGTCCAGCTCTGAGACGTGTTTTCCTTGAACCATTTTGTTCTGGCCTCTTGGAAGGAGGACAGGTCCCCTCCTAGCTGTTCCTCCAGCCCAGTCCTCTCACTCGAGCACTCCACGTGTGCCAGGCACCCCCTGGGTGACCTGGTCATGCGGAAGCATCTGTCCATCAACATCCCAAACTGCGTCCCTCTCCCAGCTGGGATTCCGCGTTCCCCTTCTCCTCCTCGAGTCTTTCTGGCTGCGGGCTGCCCACTCTTTCCTCCGCCCCCTCACAAATCTGGGCCAGCTCGCTCTGGAATTGTTTTGTTAAAGCTTCTGGAAAAAACAAGGTGCTGTTGTCTGACTGCTCACACCTTTCTTCTGGGCAGGCTGCTTCCTTCCGGAAGTTCCACCTGAGGTCTGGCCAGCGATTCTCACAGGTAATATGAGAATATTACCTCCACGTGATAGTCCCGCTTTGCAGGATTTGGCTTCTTCGAGGGCTTCAAAGATTTCACCTCCCTCTTCTTCCCCATCAGGGAATCCATGACCTTTGATCCACGGTGCCACCCAATGTTCTGTCTGGGATGAAAGGCCGGGGATGGGTGAAGCTAAGAATAGCTGACATTTCTTCTTTTCGGGTGCCAAGCCTCACACTAGCTCCTGCATCAGGCTCTCGGAATAGCTCTGTGAGGCAGGAGATACCGCAGCTTCATCGTTCAGATGAAGACACTGGGCTCAGAGAGGGGAAGCCACATACCCAAGGACACACAGCTAAGTTTAGAACAGAGTTTCCTCCGCGAGGCCTCTTCCGTAGCCACCGGACGTTACAGCTTTCTCTTCCGTGCTGTTTGAGGACATCGCTGGCCCTCCGTGACATCCGTTTCTCTGGCAGTGGGAATGCCTCCTCTGGTCCAGCTGAGTTACCAGCAGCTCTGGACGATGGCCGTCACCTGTTGGCCTCCGTGCCTGGCGCAGTGTTGGGCTTATCACGTGGCCCAACCCCTGTGGGTGCCCAGGTCCTCATGGGGCAGCTTTAGTGGAGTCCAGCTGGGCCTGGGGGCTGGGGAGACAAGGGATTTGGGGCTCTGTCCTCAAACAAGAAAATGAGCACCAAGTGAGCAGGAGTGGCCGGTCCTTCTTCGTTCTTGCCAATCCCCGCCGTGGTGGCAGGACGGCGGACCCGACAGCGAGGACCAGCTTCTCCCTCTCACCCCACCAGACGCTCCACCGACCGCCATTTGCCATCTTCCCCTTTGGGCGCCACCTCTCCCCCCACCCCACCCCCGCAGAATGTGGCTGTCCCCACTTCAGACCCCTCTCCCTCCCCAGGGGCAGGCCTGTGTACTCCACAACCCCTCGACGGAAAACCCTGCTGGACCCTGGTTTTCCCAACTCGATTTCAGCTGTTGGATCTTTTATTTTGCTGAGAACAGAAATCATGAGTCTCGACACAAAAAAGGTAAAATGGCTCTGTCCCCAGCTCTGCGGGGGGTGTCAGTATCGGGCCGACACCCCAGGCCAGGAGACCCCGGCGGCCAGGCCCCGCAGGACGGTGTGAGGTGCCCCGTGTGGCCTGGGAGCTCTGGTCCCCCTCATCCCGACTCACTGACCAGCTCCCAGCCTCCTCTTTCTCTGGAACATTCTCCACCCACGCTCCTCCTCCCACTTGGTCTCCGCTTCTCCTTTCCATTCTCCTGCTTCTCTGGGAGGACTCCCCAGCCCCAGCCGGGGGTGAGGCCTGCGGGCCAGGTCCTCTTCGCACTTGGGTCTGGGGTCTTTTGTGAGGGGGGTTGGCTTGAGCCCCAGCTCCCGATGTGCCTGTCACAAAACAGGCCCTGGAGGGACATTGGGTGAGTGTGTGAGCAGGTGGGCGTCTCGGAGGCCCTGTGGCCCGGCCGTGCACTCCCCGACTCCCCCTGGACCCTCATGGAGAAGACCAGACCGAGCGTCCGTAAGGGACTTTTGAGCCTGAAATCCTGTAGCCACTCTGTGCACACAAACAGGAGCAGCCGTGTCCGCGGGAGGGCGGGCTTGGGTGTGTCTCCTTTTCGACTTGGTCCTCGGGTCCAGGGACAGGAAGGGGGTCAGCTTGGTGCCCGTTGCTGCCCACAGCCTGGGATCCGGATGGTATTGCTCCTTCG